TATTTTATTCTTATCGCAACAGAAATTATTTTTCATTTTTCTTTAATCCTTCATAGTTTGTTATCATATTACCATATTAACATTACAATTTATTTATTCAATAATTAATATAATACGTTATTATGTATTTTTTAAATCAAAGAAAGAAACTGTAATTAATTTTTAATTATAGAAGAGAAAAACGAATGTACAATGATGATCCTAAATTTTAAACGTAATAAATAATAAAATTGAAATAGTAATGTATTATTAAACTAGAACAAGTATACTTTAATAAATTATAATAAAAAAGAACTGTAGAAAATATGTAACTAAATTATACTTTTTCTAACAGATATACTATGTACACCGTAATTATCTGACATAATAAAAAAATAAAACTTGGAATCTGTGCTTCTATGCGCAATTTGTAAACGATTTATCTGCTACTAGTATATTATATTATTTGTCTTTTATTCGCGATTTGTAGTGAAAGCAAAATGTTTTTCAGAGAAATGCAATGATGATTTTACGGTCAGCACAAAAATCTTCGATTATTTCGCTTTGTACTGTTCACAAAACCACTTGTATTTACTTTCACATAGACTTTTCTACAGGTCAACCCACTCCGGTTACCTATAACCGAAATACCAGTTACCAATACATACCGACATGTATCGAATTAGTAATGAAAATTTATTTTTTTCTTTCTTTCATTTTTTAAACAAAATTATTTTAAATTTCTTAAAATTATACTTGATTAAATTTTGAATATTGAGAAAGATAGCAATTAAAAAATCATGACAATTATAAGGTTGACATATGAAATATATCTTCTAAATTTGATGGACAAACTCTATTTATTAAATTTTATTTCATCATCTACAAATTATTAATAATAATTTGTAGATATATAAATTTATATTTTTGTAAAAATAACTATATAAATAAAAACTAAATAGAGATTTATTTTATCTATTAAATTTTATAACTTTACTTTAGATATATTTTTTTTAATTATTTATTTTTAAATTTTTAATTTTATCACAAATACATAAATGTTAGCAGTCGAGTTATCAATCACATTAAACAAAAAAAAATTAAAATTATAATGAAGTTTGTAAAAATAAAAATAATAATGATACTCATTATGAATAATCAATGAATATGCACATAATATTTTTATATTATTTTCTTACTGAAAAAAAAAAGATGTAAAGGTGAAGAGATCATATAATGAAGATCTCTATGTATTTATTCTGTTTTATGTTAACTATACTGTTTTTACTAGTTTTTTCTGAATATTCAGGAAGTCATACATACTATATCCTTCATAAATATCACATACAATCACTCGTACATTTTACAATTACAATAATTATGAGATACTCCATTCTACAAAAAAATGTGCAAAATTAGTTGAAATTATTTAATCTGTATTAATTTAAATCGGAAAAATTTCTTAGATGATTAACATATTTATATATTTATATATAATTTATATATTTTTAACATATAATTGATATTTAATTATAGAAAAGATTAAATATATATATATATATATATACGTATAAAAAATATAAACCTAGAATACATATTCAATAACAAAAATACTATTACAAAATACTACAAAAAATTTGAAAAAAATCAATAAAAAAAAATTTTTTATAAAAACATTTTGTGTAATTTCTTATTTAGAATAATGTAAAATAAACAGGAAATTATCATAGTTCTTAATTAATCAACGAAATTCTACTGCACACGTGATATTAACTATATTCTTATATCATGTAGCATAATTTTTGAAAACTTGATGAAACTGATTTATAAAATTTATATATAAGTAAATTATGTAACGAGCAAAAAAAGACTTCGGATTTATATATTTGTCTAATCCTTATCACATAAGATCACGTATATGTCTAAAGAACGACAGAATAAAGAAAGTGCCGTTTTACACAAAATACCGTTTCCTTTCGATCATCGTAGTGTTCGAATAAAAAAACTATTTGTGTTTAGAGAAATACAAGTATAGTAAGAATTACCTTTTACAAGGAGAGAATCTGAAATCGTCTAAAGTGTGAATAGATTTAGTGACTCTCAAAAAAAGAAATCAGCGACCATAGACGAAAGAAATGTGGATGGGAATGCACGGTCCAAATCGCGCGATAAAGAGGTTTTCATTCGGGTGAAATTCATCAAATAACACGTTTTCGAACGACGAAAGCGATGATAAAAAAACATGCCCGTTTCTGGTGACATAGAATGAAAGTTTTGAAAGAATAGGAAGCAATAATAGAATAATCATAAATAGATAAACTGTAATGACAGTTCATTAATTAAACAGTATTTTGAGAAAATGCGAATGATAATAGTAGTTATCATTAATTGGTAATTGTATAATTAAAAAAAAAAAAAAAGGAAATCATTATATGAAATTAAAATTAATAATCATTTTGCTATTTAGATAACATGATATAAGATCTCAAAGAAAAATTAAAAAATTTAAAGATAAAAAAATAAAAAAATTGATAATGTTTTGAGAAATTATTTTATAATAATATAAATAATAAAATAATGTTATTCTCTAAAAATATCTCTTCTCTAAACTTTTTTCTTTAGAAAGTTTTACTTTTACCAATTGTGAACTATCGATAACGTACATTTATATCTTTTGTTATATCAATAATGTTTAAAAAAAATTCACCGGATATATTAAATACTTTTTGCATATCATCATTGACCTCTAGTATCATGTTTTTTAAAATCGAATCATTGACTTACTTTCATCAATGCAAATCGTTGGTTGTCCTCCAACCCCACTATTTTCATCATCTTCGTTTCTTTTTTATTTGCCTTTTAATTATTATTTCAACTCTTCTTTATCCTTGATACCTATATTTAGTTACACGTTTGTTATATTATATTATATAATTGTTTGATTTATATTATCCATTCAAATACAAAATTATATCGAAACAATTTACATTTAATTATAAACAACAATATTTGGTTGGGTTTAGTATGATTATACAGATATTTAATCAGATATATATTAATACATATAAATCAACTTTATTATCATACTAACCTTATTTTTCCGGATATACTTGATTCAAATATAGTAAATTTAAACTATGCTGTGTCATACAAGATTTTTCTTTTCTTGATCTTTAATTTGTGCTAAAATAATAAATAATAATATTCTCATATATAAATATAATAATTATTATTATTCTTTAACAATATAATAAAATTATAAGAAATTAAAAACAGGCAACTTTGAAAATAATTAAATAATTCTTCTATTATTAAGATTTTTGAAATATCAAATATGAAATACATTTAATCAATAAATTTTAATAGGTATAATATAATTTATTAGATTGTACATAATAATTTATAATATAAAATTTATAAAATCCTTGATATTTATTTTTTTCATCATATATTATAAAAAAGTTAATATAATATAGACATAGTATGTATTATTGATAATCAATTTATTATTATACATAGGAATAAACTCACTTTGCATTTCAAAATTATAAATATTATAAAATCAATTCTTATTTTTTTTATAAAATAATAAATATGCAAATATATATATTTATATAAATATATATAAAGATTAGAAATGAAACATAATTTAAATGAATGATGCTTTTTTATGGAAAAAAAAGTTATATCTATTAATTTATTGATTTATTTTATTCCTTTTCTTATATCTTTTAAAAATATATTAAAGAATGTACTGATTAAATAACTAGAATTTTAAAAAAAATTACATGAATATCTATTTAATTGCAATTCCTGATCCATTTATAAGTGATCGATATTAATTCAATAAAGTTCAATCGAATTATAAAGAAATATAAAGAAATATTATTAAGAATTATAAAGAAATATAAAGAAATACATTATATAATACATATTACATATACATATTATAACATTATAATAATCATATAATATTATCAAATTGAGATATGAAATTCGAAATAAATCATAAAGAAATCATTATTATAAAAAAACATTATTTAATAAATATTATTTAAAAAATTAATATAATCGATACAATAATTACCATACTTCAATTTCTCTCCATATAAATGTACAAAATGTATGTTGCAATCAAATAAATTCCTTTTAACTGGTTCAATTTCGTAATCACTATTTAAAATGCACTTTGAATTATTTAAAAAAAAAAATTAAAAAAATTAACGAATTTATAACTTTTCTTCGAAAAACTTTTATTTGTCTATTAAATCGTAAAGAAGTCACGTCGTCACTTGGCGCGCAAGCACATTCGAATAATGCATCGTTATTGCGTTTGTGTTTCGCGGTAACAGGCTTACTTTATGGCGCAACAGGTGTCTCTTGTGATCGTCGCGCTCCAGTTCAAGAGTCAATTCCTTACTAAAAATGAATATTGCGCGCTGACTGACACTCGAAGAGTGGTACCGTTTTGTTCTATGCTGTATTCATGATGCCTGGGGCGCTACCGTGCTACGGGATACCCCACCACTTGCCTCGTTCGTGCCCAAGTTTATAATAGAGAATCAATCAAAAGTTTTTCCAATTATTTTTAAATTGGAAATATTTAACAACGTGTTGAGATATGAGTTCTTCTTCCTCCGCAGATTACAGCGTATGTTGGGAAAAATGCAGTATTGGATTAAATCATTTTGAATGCGCGCGAATTTGTGAGTAACTGCAGATATAAGATTGTTTGAAAACTATGATTATTATTAACTGATTATTTTAGATAATTTAATCTTTTGATTCTCCGTTTTAATAAATTTATATTATATACTAATCAATTGGCTAATCGATTAGCGTTTTTGTTACATATTTAGATCATGGTAACCTTGATAATTTTGGGTTTACGGATATGTTTATTTATATAATATGTAGATATACTATTATAATACTATTACAAGTAATTTGTGGGTCAGTGATGAAAGGAATTTGATATTCAATTTTGTATTGCCATTTCGAAGTACTACTAATGCCATCTGTAGAAAGATTCTTATATTATCTGTGATGAAAATATTGACAATCACTGGCATTCAACTCAATCGATTTCTCGTTCTCGTACACCTTATTATGGCGTAGGATGATAAGTAGTATGGAATGTTTTATGTGATTTTTCGTTGAATAAATTCAATATTATCAATTTTAAAATCCATTAATTCTGATTAATTAGCATCGAGAAAGTGATTCATGTAATTATTTGGTTGAACTTGCATCAAAGAATGCACTTTTGTTTTAAGCGATACATTATCGGCGTCTTGTGCCGATATAAATTTCAACAAGAAAACAGATCATACGACAGAATACATTCATCGATATCGAGGTTAAACAATTCTATCGCTATCAGAACCTTGTCAAGTAAGTAATTTGTTATAATTATTTTATATTTTATACAATACCAATCCGCAGATATTGATTATTTGCATTCTGATTATCTCTATTAAAACAATCATAATAAAAAAAATTATGTTAAAAAATATTTAAATATATCGAATTTAAACGATATTTATCGAATCTAGTTTGAATTATAATTCATATATCGTCTTTTATTATTTTTTTTATTCATAATATCTGTAATTTTTATGATATCTATAATCTAACCTCATAAAAATTATAATTTTTTAAATATTACAATAATATTTTAACAAAATCATTATTATAAATTAAATATAATATATTAAAATTTTACTTTCTATTGCATTCAATTCATATTGAATTTTTGTCATCTACTTTGCTTATGTATCATTTATTCATTAAGATATTAATTTATTCTATTCACAACTTGTTATTTTAAACATTCTATATTATATTTTTAAAAATATTAAATAAATTACACTTAAATTTATCTAACTTTTATGTGACCCATAATTTGACAATTTTTTTCGTCATACCAATTCATATCAAATATGACATATTATTATGCAAAGAAATTATAAATTTTATATATTTGTTTTCTTATTTTTTGAACATTGTAGAAAAATTTTATCAAATCAAAAATTAGTTTTATACCTTCTTAATTATTAATATTATATAATTTTTATATAATATATATATATATTGAATAAAATAATAAAATAAAATAGTAAAGTATCTTAAATCTGTTCTATTCTTGTATCTTGTAAAATATATACACAAAGCAATGTATATAATAACAGGATACTGTGAATCCGGCTATTATGTACATGTGAATTCCGATAATAAGAACTTCTATTCAATTAAGATGTTATGGATGATTTTAATATAAATAACTCCATGATACCATTGAGATTTCGCAAAAATTTTATAATATAAAGACAAACAAACAAATGATTTTATTAATTGAAATTCTAGAACAAACATATCTCGAAGTAATGAGCTTAACAATTTATTACAAATCTTTACGCCCATTATACCTTTTTTTTATACACTTGTTGATTAATTAATATATCTAATATTTATAATATTGAAACATTTTAAAAAAAATATCTCGTTTTCTTATTTGTTTTATTGAATTCTTAATTTAAATATTATAATTCATAAGAAATTTTTTTCTATGACATATGTGACATAATTTATATCTAAATTTTAAATATGTTTTCAGTTAAAGTAATAATTTGCTATAAATTACAATAAATCAAGATTTCTTACTTCATTCAGAAAAATCTACAAAAATTTATTTATAGTAATAGATTATAATTTTTTGATAATTAATAATATAGTACATATGCATTTCATAATTAAACTGAATAAAATTCATAAAAAATATGATTCATTTATAAACTTGTTCTACTAATACAAATAATCTTCTATATATATACTAATAATCTCATTAATCAGGCATTTAATATGAAGCAAGTGTACTAAAATAAGTAAATAGTTTTCTTAAAAAGAATTTTCAAGTTTTAAATATAGATCAATCAATAGCAAATATAATAATAGATAAGTTAGAAATTGCCTGATTTTAAATATAAATAACGATAGAACTGAAAATGAAATTTTTTTTCTATTGGAACTACATTCTGAATGTTTGCCATGAAGAAAAACTCATAAAATAAAATTATTAACTATTTTGTATTTCATCTTATTGTAATGAAAATTTTTGCATCTATCACTTCTATGTGAACTTTATATATTATATGTATATATTATATATATTTTGAATTTTTTAAACGTGACTATATCTTATAATATTTCTTTATTATCGATTTAATACATTTCAGTATACGCAGGATTTACAAAATTGCAAATGCCAAAACTGTTTATAAGTCATTAAAAAGACGATAAATTTGATTTAACATTAGTCAAACATTGATTTATATTTTTATCTATCCTTTGATGTACAAGGAAAATGTAAACGAAAATGTTGCAATCTACAGTATACGAGCACACTCATAATTCTTTTTTGTTTGATTTTAAATGTCTTTAAAATTTATAAAATGTATTTAAGATTGAAACATTAAAAGAAATTAATAGAAATTAAATTATATAAAAATATACAACTAAAATATTAAATAGAATAGATATACAGGAATTATTAATATAGAAAATTATTTTAATTTTAATTACTGTCTAGAATAGCAATTATTTGATTTTTTAGAATTATTTATAATCTTTAAATATTTCACAAGAAATATTATTATTTATAAGTTGATAAATTATCATTCATTTATTCATTTAATAAAACGAATAATAATAAAATTTAAAAAAATCAATATTTATATCAAATTTGCATTGTTTATTTGTATGTGAGATTTGTTGGTATTCTAATTTACGCGCCAAAAACGTTCGACAATTATCGGCTTTTTTCGACATCAGTCGTTAACGTTCATCGATGCCATATCGCGGCGTTCTTATTCAGTATACTGATGTCTTTCGTCGCTGTTATTTGGTGTGATTTAGTTGTTTGCGAAATTTTTCATTTTTCAATATTATAAGTTTAAATTAAATGCTAGTGTTTTTTCTCTAAGTAGATTTTTATTTATTTTTTATTTTTCATATTTTTTTTTTGTGAAAAGTACATAAAATTGATTTCTGTTATGAGTTCGCGCGTTGATATACACACTTCTTTAATTTCTCTCAAAATGGTAATAGAATTTATAATTATTTGATATACTTTTATTTTATTGAAATATATAATTATTAAAATGAATGATTGTTTTGATTTTATCTGAAATTTTTTCTTTTTATATTTTTATTTATTTATTTTTATTTAATTTATAATTTAAATTATATTAAAAAATCAATGTTATTCTTCTTATTTTTTAAAAAAATTATATTATAAAATTTTTATATTATTTTTCTATAATTATTGTATTTATAAAAATTTTTTTAATAATATTTTTTTTTTTTCTATATTCAAATTGTCAATGTGTGTGTGTGTGTTCATTATCTTATAGCATTCATAAGTAGCAGAGACATGTTGGCGCTAAGTACTCGATAATTTGTTGACCTCGTATATAATAACGTGACATATCTATATGAGTATACCAAACAAAACTAATTATTTTTCATCAATAATGATTTTTTCAGCTATTTTAATCATGATTTAATTTGGTATGTAAGTCGTATCAACAAGCTCTCTACACATTCTACGGTCCTCTGTATTTTTAGTGATATTGGCACGTATCTCTGAACTATATTAGTTGCAACTCAATGACAACATAGATAATTCGTTATGGCTTTTTTTTACGAATGATTAATGGAAATGTTTTGAATCAGCATTTGTAAAAAAAGATTGTAAGGAAAATTTTTTTTCTTATTATCTAGTAATGAGATATTTATAGAAATATATGAATCATTTCTAGGTGTATAATATTTATTTGTTTTTATATTTAAAACGTAAACATATAATTAAAATTAATTCTAATAAATTATTATAAATAATTTAAGTAATATATAATAAAAATTTATATTTTTATAAATTTATAATATATAATAAATATTTAGCACACTAAATATACATTTGAGATTTATAATTTTTAATTATTTTTTTAAAATGTATGTTGTAATATATTTAAATAATATATTTTTATATCAAATATAATTTATTAATTTTATAAAATAATATTATAATAACCTTTATGTATAAAATTATTTCTAATAATTTATATATATATATATTTAAAATAAAAATTCATAAATATCAAAAGATAATTTTTAATGAATTATATATTTATGAATTGGAACATTCTTTCATATACCTTTCAAATATGTTTAATTCAAAAAAAAAAAAATATTGTTGAAGTGCTTATTGAAAAAATACTTTTTTTTTTTTCATAATATTTAACTTGGATCAATCTTCATCAATTTTTTTTTTTTGGCAGCATAAAATCAAGGTCAAATTAACAAGAATAGCTATGTGAAAAAAATAAATTGGAGATATATGTTGAAATGAATCATGTATTATTTATATAATTTCAAATTTTTATTTATATTTATATTTATTATAATTTATATTTATTTAGAAATGAATCTTTATTGTAATATTTAAAAAATTATGATATAAAAAATAATATATGTAATATTTGTATAAATAATTTATAAATATTTAATATGGATATTATTTATCAGTATTCAAAGATTTATTATCAATAATATTTATTTTTACTATTGATAATATTGATAATCTTTCAACTGCACTACATATATTTTCAACAGATAATTTTAGCTACAACTATTTTTAATCAAAGTAATACTTATTTTTTTAAGTACCAATATATTTTTAGCAATACTATATATAATATCTGTGACAATTTTATCGAATACAATGACCTCTCGGGACAAAAATATAAAAATTATAAATCATTTTGATTTATATATCAAATATGTATATATATAAATGATTAAATGATATGTAAAGAAAAGAATGTTAATTCTGTGCATACATTTATTTCAATATTTGCCCCTTGATGGCATTTAAGTTGAAAAGGTTGCAGGAAATATATCGTTTGCATAATAGCATGTAAATGAAAGCGAACGTTGTGCGTGCAGCGCTGTCATTGTTATCAATGACCATTAAAAATAATAAAAAATCAAAATTTAAAATTTTTTAAAATAAAATCCACTATTTTCTTTGTTTTAAATCTTTATTAAATTTTTTTTTGATACTATCACTATCAATGAATATAAATGAAAAATTTACTCCTTTAAGGCGTTAATTGACTGTTTATGAAAGTTATGCATTAGTGTGTTAAAAGTATTAGCTAAACGATGTATAGATATATTTTGTACATATGATTTTTTTATATATTTTACATATAATAAAATAAAAAGAAGTTATAAATATTAAAAAAATCAAAACAATCAATTTATTTTAGATTAAGAAATAAAATTAACTTTGAAAAAATTGAGAGATCAATTTTTCTCTTCTTTTACTTTCTCTTTTTAAAACCATGTCATTGATTGCATTAAAGTTACATTCAAAGTAATATACACATATCTACTTGTTTCTAATCATTAATTAGTGTAAATACATCATTTCATCGTACGTGACAAAATTTGATACGAAAGTTATGCATGAATATCGATATTAACTAATTTTTTTACTATTATATCAAAAAAATGATACAATTAAATTATTTGAATAAAGAATGTTTCATTATTCTTTGTTTGTTTATTTGACTATGGACATCTTATCTTAACAATTTCGTGTATCGGTAGATCAAATTTTTTATTTACGAATATGCAATGATGAAACAAACAAAAAAAATCACAGTATTTTGCATTATTGAATGATACGCGATCATAATATAATACGATAAATAAAAAACAAATGGATACATGTATTAATTTTTATTACATATGTATAATAATCCGTAACGTAATATATTTAAAATGGAATTAAATGCAAATGTGTTTTTAAATAAAATCCTATTATTTTATTAATCTTATTTAAAAAAGTTAATATTTTAAGTTAAAATTTCTAGTACTTAAATTTTGTGAATTAATACTATATAAGCAGTGAAAATTTATTCATTTTAACAATTTTAATATTTAGAACAATTTATTATTACAATTTTTTTTTTATTTTAGCGTTTGTCAGAGCTACGCAAGAACCGAGCCTAATGTCCATATGGTCGACAAGCACTGGACGCAATTCAGTGTTTGGCGCGGAGGACGGAGCGGTACTCCCCTCCTCGCATTTGCCGATACACGTGGCGCGCACACATCTGCGCAACATTGACGGCCACTGCTTCCATAAGCGGTTCCACGAGTGTCAGGTTGGTAGTTCTCCCCTTGTTTTTTTAATCTTACAGTTCGTTTCCTTTTTATCTCTCCATATATCGCACTATATATTATATTGTTGTCTTATTGTTTTCTTTTGCCGTACATCATATTCATTCTTATATTCGCGTTTCCTATTAGTGATCAGTTATTTCATTTATTTTTTATTGGATTATTAAAATAATTATGAATGCTTGATTATTTTGATCTATCTTTTAATACTACAGATATAAATATTAATAATCCTAGTTTGGTATAAAAGAGATTGTATATATATTTTATAACATTCAGGAAATAATATTATAAAAAAGATTTAGAATTATTTGGCAAGAAAACATTAATATTATATATAATATACGGAATGAATTATCATATATAATATATATAAATATTTTTGTTATGAGACAATAATATTTATATATTTTAAAATACAAAATACAAAAAAAAAATATGCTGAAGTATAATTAAGTATATATAATTATACAATGTATATTTTAATAAAATAAAATTAATAGATAAAATTGCATTATTAATTAAAATTATTTAATATTTATTATTTAAATTATTATTAGTTAAATTAATCACATATATTTTAAAATTTCAGATATTAAAATTGGAACAATTTCGTATAAACATAAAATTCAAATATTAAATCAATCATGATTACTTTATGGTTTTCAAATGAGAATGTGTATCAAATCTTTTACATCTCTTTGTTTTATAATTGAACTTCAATAACAAGGATCAATTTGCTTGTTGCTTGTTTATTTGATAAATTATTTTCTCTTTATATTATTATTTAAAATTCATTCCGTTGATGATTTCATGATCAGGAAACTAGATTGAGATTCATGCGAATCGTCGATGATTGTACCCGGAAAAGAACTTGTATTATGTTCGTCGATAGAACAAAAAATTGAATATGTATTATTTTATATTCAAGGAAACCTTGAAAGTAATCTCTGATAAAATCAATCAGAATTGTATGAATTATAAATATTACTTACTTATTATCACTGTTAATAGTACAACATAATCTTTATCCGGCAATCATATCGGCCGCATAATTATCCTCGTGTTAACAATTATTCTTTGTCCGCAAATTCAACTTACATAAAGCACAAACACATGGTAATATATTAATAGTTTCATACTAAGTAAAAAAATATCATATTTATACTATCTACGGATGTATATTATACGGGAATGATATATATTTTAAATTGATTTATGGCATATCCTATGTACAAAATTAACTATAATCTAAAATAATTATATTGATTTAAATATAGCAAAAATTATATGATCAAAAAAGTTAATTAATTATTTATATAAAGTAAAAAGAGAATATTTTCTTTTTTTCTTTTTTATTTATTTTTTAATTAAAGAAATTAATTTTATAATAATTTTAAAATATTTACATTATTGTTTAGAATTAAAATTTTTTTCTTTTTTTTTAATATGATATTTTGTCGTTCTATCGCTTGCCAAATTTTGCAGATATATCAATTTATCAGTAGTTGAATTTTTTCTCTCTTATGTCTTTTCATTAATTTTCCTTGTTATTTGTTTCGTTCAGCACCCGTTGGGTTTTTGTCCTACACAGGACTTTTGGCAAGTTCTCCCATTGGCACCAACGTTGCCATCTACTTTCGGTACGTGTCTTATTTCTTACGTGCTTGTACAGTTGAACGCCAATTATCCGGTTCCCAAGTTCCCTGGATATGCAATTATTCCGATGTATTTTCAACAATGATTTTGCCATACGAACATATATCATAAATCTAAAATCATATGAATATATTGATTGCTGTTTTAAGACAAAAATATGTTATTAGGATTTATACTTGTAAATTAATGATTGTGATTCAAATTTAAAAATAAATCATTTTAATACACATAAGTTTTTTATGAATTTATATAGTTTGTCTAATAATATCTCATATACTTTTAGCTGAATATGTAAAATGTTTAAATTTTATTTATTTATAGGGAAAAGAAAATGTATACATATATACTAATAAAAATTGGCACATTAATAGCAATGCAATATATTCAGAGTTTCTAATTGGCTAATATTAAATTAATATATTATATTGAGAAATTAAATATAATTTCATAAACTTATTTGTGAAAATCTATAAAATATCTATAAGATATAAAAAATTATTTAATGCGACTTAATAAATATATTAAAAAATAGTTCTGTTAATTAATTTAATTATATTACATTGCCCGATAATATAGATCAGTAGTTTCAATTAGATTGTATAATTGTCACGAGATGCCTGAGGCACAGTGACAAGTTAGTATATCGTTTTCGATTAAGTATATTGTGCAATCATCTGCTTTCATTCAATTCTATTTTGCAAACTTTATATTAATGTAATTCCTCTATATTGCTTATTTTTCTCTTTATGAACTAGTCAAAGATGTCACAGTCAGGAGATGGCCTTCACACGCCGGGTTATCTCTCTTGGAGAAAATTACAACTCAGCCGAGCGAAACTTAAAGCATCAAGCAAGACGTCTGCTCTACTTCCGGT